TGTAAGAATAGGAGATTAAATGTAATGTTAAAATGAAAAGTGACGTGAGTATAGACATAAGAACAAAATTGCTAATCAGTAAGGCATTAAACAAAGGAGCCTTACTGTACTCAGTTTATATTTTTATTTAATAAAAATTTGCTGGTATCCAATCCAGAGTATGCTGCCAGCAAGTGTGGAGATGGGGCAGTACTTGAGTTCGTCGGAGGCTGAGCTGGAGAGGGGAGTAGGAGCAGCTGCCAGCAAAGCCAGTCATATGTGGCGTAGTTCCTGGGGAAAAGAGGCAGAAACAGTGAGAACTGGAGTTTACTGCTGACAGCATTTGAGAGCCTGCTCTACTCACCCAGACTAAAATAAACTGTTTCCAACATCCCGGCAGTCATAAAACACTATGTTTGTTAAACCACAAATAAGTCTCCCTATGGACAGATGGCAGGGTGGGGAAGCAAAGCTGAGGTTATCCTTTGGGAAAGATACAGAGCTCATTCAGTATGGTAGAATGTATACCCAGGATCATGTACAAAATTTTAGAAATTTGTCAGGACATTCCCTTCTTGCCTAAGGATGTCTCCTCCTCTTTTCTTGCAATGATAGAATTTTCTTACCTGCTGCTTTTCTTTAATTTCAGCTTTAGTGCCTTGCTCCCATCTTTCTTCTCCCTCCTGTCCACTCCTGTGCCCTCCTGTTTTTCCTCAACTTCTCATTCTTCTTTTGGTCTTCCTCACAAATATATGTTTTTAATCTCTCCAAACGCAGCAAAATCCAAGTCTTCCATCATGAACTGTCATGCTACAGGATTTCTTTTATTCCTGTTCTCAGATCATGTCTACATATGTTCTGTGATGTTGGGGAAGTTCTGTTTCTCTCCCAGTAGCTCAAGCATTAGCTTCTTTGCCTTTTACAAAGAGGCATCTACTTGCTACAATTTAAAAAAAAAAAAAAAAAAAAAAAAAAAAAGTTACCTTTCTTTGAAAAGCTGATTCCTACCTGGGGTTTTCCTGATAGAAGCTCAGCATTTTCAAAGGCCAGTGAAAATATCATGGAAGTTCCAGGTTTACCACATTTTTGTTCTGTGCCCTTCTTGGTATCTATAGCATCTCACTCCAAATGGATCTGTGGTCCATTGCTTCCCAAAGAAACAGTTGTTTCTATTTCCCCTGTTTGGTAGAACACATTCGATGGCCTTGTCCGGGAGAATAAGTTAGGAAACTTTATTGAAGTGAATTGGGAAAAAGGCAGCTAAGGAGCATTAGGTCAATGATAAATGTCGCTGTGATTTCCACACTAGTTCAGTCACGTCTCGTTCATAGGTGATGGGCTTTCAGACTACGTTTGGGCTGGGACTGCACAAGCTTAAGCAGAAGAGGAAGTGGTCCTCTTGCATAGCATCTATATCCAGGTTCAACAAGGTGCCACTGGTTTTACCCCTATAAAGTAGAGAGTATATATTGATCCAACCTTACTGTTTCCTTTTTAAATTAGAATAGGAAGAATCTTTTACCACTAGACAAAACCTTTAATAATTGAAATTTGGATAGATAGGTTTGTCATCTCTGTACCTGGAAGTGGAAATCAGTGCATGCAGAGATCTAGTACGTGCTAACAAAAATTAGCTGTTGTGTGTAAAGTCTGTGACTATTTCTTAATCATTACATAATGTGTAGTCTTTAAACACCATTTTCCTGGCTTGTTTAGCTTTTTGTAGGTCTCAGATGAGCTATAAGTGAATACATTTAACTTCTTTACAGTGGGTCGCAGAATTATGCTTACTCAGCAGCATGTAGTAACTGGTTCAACATGAGCTGTTTCTTATATAAACATACACAAAGCCTGACCCAGACTAAATCAATTTAAAAAAAAAAAAAAAAAACAAAAAAAAACATTAAAGCTGAAAAAAAAACATTAAAGCTGTGTTATCCTGACCCAGACTAAATCAATTTAAAAAAAAAAAAAAAACAAAAAAAAACATTAAAGCTGTGTTTCCTGTTACATGCTTATGGTCGTCTTTGGTTGCTTATGATCTTACTGTATTATTGACCAACTGTTCTATTCTACACCACCTGCCGAAAGGTTCAGATGGGATAGTGAAGTTGTTTTCAGAAGGGGGAAGCAATTAGAATCATAACCCCTATAGTACATTTCAGCTGGTAAAGCAGTGTTTATGCTAGGGGTAGAGAAGTCATGAAATTGGCTTACTCTGTTTCCTTGATTTTATTTGCTACAAGGATTTCAAAAGCTGCAGAATCAAAAAGGCTGCAGAGTTCATACATAGCATGTATGCTTAAGATTAGGCCAATTCTGCTGCGGTTTAACTTACTCTCATCTTTCTAAGTATACAACTAATAAATTGGGGGTGTACTTAGGAAAATAGTTGATATGGAAAACCAGAAATGAGTGCTTATGTAAATGCCTGTATGTATATAATTTATTTGAGAAAAGGCTATATTTTGATCCTTGTATAAAACTGGCAGGATGTACTTTCTGAAAGCAATAATCAGCTTAGTCGAAACATCAAGGCATTAATAACAAATCCTCATATGTTATGTATATGTGTAAAGTATGTGTTTCTTGAAATGGGTAATCTATAGAAACACAATTTGTTTGCTTGGATTTTGAAGGTGTATCTAAAGGATCAGAGGAGGAGTTTTGTATTATATATAGGAGATTGTTAATAGTAGGAACAGAATGAAAATGCAGGTTTTATATCAGCGTGAAAGTATTAGGCTGTGATATCCCAAAGCAGGACAAACATTATCCAGTCCTTGAATTTTACAAAATTAATTGGATCAAATAAAAAAAGATCCAATGGACAAGTCTTATACCAACAATGCAATGCACTAGTACTTTGTGTCTATATAGTACCTGTATGTATTTTACTGCACCTAAAAAAGTGTGCCAAAGAGCGATTTCATTGGGTTTTATATTTAAGTAAGTAAATTTATGACGGGAAGAAAACCATTGTCACAATGGGGAGTTTCAGATTGGTGCATACAGCCACATTTTGCTCTAGGAATTTGTTTCACCAGGTCATGGTTGTGCTGAACAAGTCTAAGGGATATAGTGCTAGGTGCAGCTTTTATGCAAGTACTCAAGTTGATCATAAAAGAATAAATGAAAAATGTTCTTTACTGTGAAGTACAGGAGAGAAGAATTCATTATGCAGGTGAAGTTAGTATTCTATTCTGTATTTTATATACTTAAGCAGATTTCATATGTAATTCGGTGCTTTATTTTCAGTAATATTTCACAACACATATATTCCAATATTTACTTGCATTAGGCAAAGTATGTAAATAGACATTGGGTCATACATTAATCTACCATGGTTTTTTTGTTTTGTTTTGTTGTTTTGTTTTTGTTTAAAAACCACCCCAGAACTGCATTCATATTGATGAAATAATGCCTAGAAAGAATAATAAAAGACACAGTTGTTGTGGTTAGATCTCTCTATGTGGAAAGTTGACAAACACATTCTTGAGTTTTAAGAAACCGCATTTAATTTTGAAATACCACTACTGACATAACAGATTTTCAGTGTATTTCTGCTAAGCATTTAAGAAAGTTATAGGGCTACTGAACAATGCCATCACACTGCCTCATCAGGAATGACTTGATCAAAATGGCTTTATTGCCATTCATGTGTCTCTGTGGGTAGATATGCTTAACTACTTAATTTTCTTAATTGCTAGCATACTCTGTGGGTGACAGTGGCAAAGGTATTGGCAGTTTCAACTGTGTTTGAATTTGGGCAGCATTGGAGATTGCTCTTTGAATAGGTTGCATACCTATACTTACAGATTGCATGCAGGTGCATGCATCACAGATTGAGATGTGCTGCTTTAATCCTTACTTGGTTTTAGGTTGTTAGCATCAATAATTAAACAAATTGCAGAATTATTAAGTTCTCTGTGGAGACAGCAGTTATATACTAAGTAATGACTCTGACATCAGACAACCACCTAGCATGGAAGAGTTGATTGGATGGCATATGCAAATAAGAAGATGAAACTTCAACTCAGATGTATGAAATCAATAAAAATAGACTACAATTTGATGTGATCATAGATTCAAAGCAAAATGAATTAAGATCCCCTTGCTCCCTTTACTGGCTTGTTCTGAAAAACAGTGATAAGTTCAATTGTGCATTTTTATTATAATACCAAATGAGCTGTGCACATAAAGCTATATTCTTCCCAGCATAGAAAAGGCAAGGTAATTTTTTTGAAGATTAACTAGTGCTTATTAGCAGATGACAAATGGTAGTAGGAGACTCCTCTGATACTGGTCACTGGTAAAACCAAATGGTCTTAGCAGCCTCCACTCATCCAATGGCTCTTGAATGTCTTGCTGAAATTGGGTGTGACGGTTTCCCAGGCTCAGCTCAAGATTGAAATATTTCGTAAAATCAAATGTCGCAGAATTTAGCAGAATCCACAAGTAATGTGGTTCACTCAAAAATGCTTTTTCTCACCTGTCAGAAGAATTTTAATAACAAAGGACTGTACTGAAATTCCATGTTAAAAAGATTGAATTGTTTTTCCATCACCTTGGAATGTTCTTCTTAATTTTTTTTTCTTTAATGAGTTTAAATGGTGGAACAACTGTCTCACAAATAAAGTTCTTAGTAATACTGATACATAGCTGTTCATAGCTGAGGACTTGAATGTGGCATCCTTTATCTATTCAGTCCATATGAGTTAGTCCTGCTTCCCAATAAGGCTGCTCATATGGACCTGATTGAAAGTGCAGTGAAGTCAATAAGTTGATCTTGTATCGACTTTGATGGATCTGGTGAAATTTTGGAATATATTTGCATATCTCCCATTGAATTCCATAAGAAAAGAGGCAGCTGGATACATCTGAAGATCTGGACTTAAAATAATGCTTAGATGTAGTCAAGAATGGCAAACTGATACCTTAATTTTCTATCTTAATGAATGATTTTGATCTTTGTTGCTGAAGGGTTTTTTGGTTTTTTTTTTTTTCCTTTGGCATTACAGGAGAGCACTGAATCTAGGAATACTTCGAGACCCTGGATCAGAGGTTGAAGACAGACAGTATCAAATAGATCTTCAATCTATAAACATTGGTACTGCTCATTGGAATCAGTTGAAACCAGAAAAGGAAAACGGAAAAGGAGGGGTTTTGACGGAGAGTGAAAGAAATTCTCAAAATCCAGCACTTGAATGGAACATGGCCAGTAGGTAGGAAGTTTTTTTTTAAACTTATTCCTTTCTAGAATTACATAGCACAAACACTGCGGATATCATTCACAGTATATCTGAAATAATTCTGTATTGTTTTTGCTTTACGTTACAAGCATATTTCCATGGAGTTTTGGATTATATACTTGAAATGCATATTACTACTATTGTTACACTTAGACTGTAGTTACCATCTAGTTACTGTGTGCCTTTGGTGCCATTATAAGCTCTTTTCTGAGTGGCTTACTGTATGTCCATAAAAATAACTCCAGTGCTCAGACTTCAGCTTCTCAGTCTACAAGCCATGGGAGGTTTTGGTTTCTTTTTTTTTTTTTAACTTCTTTTGTTTGTATTTTTACAAAGCTTGAGTAAAACCAGCTTAGACATTTCTAAGTTAGAGGAGGATAAAGTAGAACATTTCCTATTGGTTCTGAACTGTTTTTTGCACTTCTGTAACTAAAACCAGATGAGTATTGAACATACATATTTCATCTGAGTCTCCCTTACTGTGTATTGTATGATAGCACATGCAAAGCCCCGCCCTCTAGTTAAACAGAGTTGAAAGATAAAGTATGCATACACTTGTGTGGTATTTTAAATTTTAAAGTTTTCAAATATAAAATATAAATTTAAAAAACCCTATAAATAAAATAAAACCCTCTAAATAGTTTTTTTAAATTGGTAATTTGTGAAAATTTGAAATTTTTATTTTAGTTTTAATATACTTTTTTATACTTAAAAACTTATACAGGTGGTTTAAAACTAAATTTTTATGGACTGTGTAGCAGTCAGAGTTCTCTTTTTAAAGTGACAGGAATAAGGTCTGATGGCCAAGAGAAAGCTTTCAAAAGTCATTTTGTGGATTTAGACGCATTTCTGCTAGAAGATGCCTGTTTGCCCACACATTTATCTATTTATTTTCATTTAAAAGTCCTTTATATCCAATTCATGCAAAACCAATCCACTTTTTATAAAATGCATGCATAATTTTATGGTTCCTAAGATAAGATTCCTATCTGATATAGAAAAACAGGTGGAATCATAAGGAAAGGAAAAAATTGAACTATTGCTGGTTTAATTTTCAAAAAAAGGGGAGATGAGAGGACTCTCAAGATTTTTCTGAAAGTGAGGCAAGCTGTAGCAAAAGAATCTATGGGGAGGATGGCACGCAGACTGAGCTTTCTAAGTGATGAATTGATGAAAGACCAAGAGAGCAAATAAGCTCATTCTGGAGGAGTGCCTGCAGGAAAAAGATGTGATCAAGAATAAATTCCAGTTTATCATTTAAAAATAGAGGGCAGGAAAGGCAGATCTAACCAAAGTAATGATAAAACCACAAGGAGTGACAGGAGTACAGATAAAATCTTAACATAGTAATAGTATCTGTTCTTCATTTATAAGATCGCCTGGTTCTTTCCTGTCGTAATGTGTTTTTTTTTTTTTTAACTAATATAGACGATTTTTCTTTTAAACTCTTAGCCTTGAAAAAATGTGTATGACCTTCTAGTTGGTCCTTGAAGTTGGGCAAGTTGCCCATGAAGTTCTTTCTTGCAAAACAACATAGGGCCACTAGGATTTCTTGAAAGATAAGATGACACTAATCTCCAGGGGACTTCTAGCGAATTTGTAAGTTAAGCTAACATAGGAAAAAGAGCCACTGAGACACCGGCTTTCCTTTTCCTTCCTGTTGGTGACTAAAATCATATTGCCAGCACACTTGGGTCTGAGCTTTATGGTTATAGATTTGGATAGGAAATTTGGTGGGATTCCTGAAAAGCTATTAAGGTAAGAATAAGGGAAGCAGCTCTTACAGATAATCTGAGTTGTCATTTTTTTATAACTGCTTGGACATTCTTCTTTTCCTCAGCAGACTTCCAAAATAAAATTTTATTAGAATATATTTGACAAATAAGCATGTTTGTTTTGAAATTGCTTTTGAATGAATCTTCTACTTGGGTTTTAATTTAAATCAGTTGTAATTAAGAACATTAGCTTTTTCTTTCTGGTATGCAATAGAGTATTTTAATTCCAGCTTGGATTTGTTTAAAGAGAAAGTCTGTATGAGTGTTTTCTTGTCCTTCTGGCTTAAAATTTTACACATTTGCTATAGTTCTTTTTCAGGGTGTTTGCATTTTTGCATTTTAGTTGGCAGTCGGTTTTGTTGCATCTGGGTTTATTTTATGATCTGTGGAAGTGGTGTGCTGAGAACTGGAAGAACCTGCATTGAACTCTGCCATCCGCTGAGATATTTCCAGCATGCACCAAAAGGGTGGCTGCATGGTGTTTTACACGGTGCTTAGTGTTTTCAGGGTGAAATTTATCTTAAGATTTCCTGCAACTGCCACAGAAGCTTTATTCTTTGACCTATTTGTGGTACTGTTTTCTTTTTAATTCTTTAAGTTTCTTAGACAACGTTTAACCTGGAACATAATGAATGATTTTTACTGAGTTATTTTAGGGTTCATTTCTTTGTTTAGTTTTAATATACTTCTGTTTGTTTTTACTTATTGTTTAGACCCAGTGTTCTGGTTTATTAGGTTCACTGGGTTTTAAGATTCTTTTTTCCCTCATTTTTTAATTCTTAGGTGCTATGTGGTGCAGTATAGAATGAAACTTACATCCCAGTATTTCATTCAGTTACTTTACAGAAAACTTCAGCATAGATACCAGCCATTAATTTTGCATCCCCATTTCCAAAAGCATTACTGTATTTTTTTAAAATAAATTAAATAGTTGTAAAAATTCTGAAATAGATTATATTGTAATTTAGTCTACTGGGTTGAAATTTGGTCTTGTTTTAAAAATTTGCATGAAAATCACATCACTCTAAACATAAGATCTATGGATGTCATACAAATATTTGAAAGCTTTTGACATAATTTATCATTTAAATGCTTTAACAATCTTTACACGGAAAGTAAATCCTTCAAATTTTCCCACCACTTTTTCTGGCATTCAATATTTCTAGTACTTACTATCTCATGGGTTTTAATTTTTTTTAACCTTTACATTGTAATTTGGAAAGCAAGCAGTCTTGCTTTGAGACTAAGTGTTGAATATTTCAAGGTGTTTAGTGTAAAATTCTTCAAGAGGGGCTGTTGTGAAGTGCTGGTGTGATGCCTCCTGTGCCTCTGCAGGTCATTCCAAGAAGAATGGGGGAATTGGAGCACGCTGGTAGGGTGGATGCCCTCTCAGAACAAAATGTCCAAATGCTGTGCTGTACTGAGATTCAGGGATCATAACTCTTCCCATTATGAAATGTTTATACTAAACTGTAGATGTTATAAAAAGCTCCCTAATGGTGTAATACATAAAAAGAATACTGGAAACAGTCAGACAGTTCTAATAAGGTTATGTACAAATGAAACCTGTCCACATTTATTCCCTTTACCAAACAGCATGTGGGGAACTGGGAGTACTTAACCAAAAGAAGTTTTCTTGATTGAAAACTGCTTTTTCAGCTTGCAGATCTCCTCCTCCCTCTCCCTCCTCTCAATGGAAAAAACAACAGCCCTGAAGGAAATAAAGAAATATATCCTCTCTTGAGGCCTTGCCCCCATCCCTGTGCAATGCTTCTACAGCTCCCAGCAGCAACTTCTGCTTCCTGCAGCCTGAATAAACTCTGTTTAAAAAAAAAATTAATCGAGCTTAAAAGCATTACTTCTCTGTGTGGTAATGAATTGAGTGTGGCAATATACTGCATTACAGTTCTGTCCATGGCATACCACCATCTGGAACAGCTCTCTGCGACTCTCATTGAGTACATCAGGGAGCCAATGATCTGTTGTACAAAACTGAACAAAATACCACTCTTGCTTTGCAAGGATCCTCAGAAAGGTTTCCTGCAGATTTTCCTTTGAATAGTTTTCATTTTCATGCTTTTGTGGAAAGTTGAAGTGCAGCTTGCCAAGTTCAAACAAGGAAGACCAGAAAAAAGTGATCAGTAGATCCATGTGTAGGGA